GACTGTTTTGTCTACGCTGCTGTAAATGTTTATAATAGTTCTCCGTGTTGGTGCTGCCTGCGGCGTGCTGCACGAGCTTCCTCCGAGCTGGGATCTGACTCTATGTGCCAGGAGGGGGGTGGGTGGGTGCCCCGGCACAGGGCACACATGTGGTCAGGCCTGCCTGGGCACCGGGATGGGAGGGGCACGGGCAGCTTCTGCTCCTTGGAAGCCAAGCGCAGGCCCAGGCCAAGAAAGGCTCTAGCTGAATGTGTGCCCACCCGGCCCCCGAGAGTTAGAGACAGTCTGGCCAGAGAGGACACGTCTTCAGTCACCGTGTCCTGGCAGTGAGGCCACAGTCAAGTGGGGAGCCTAGCCCCTCTGCGTGTGTCCCTTGGTCTTTTTATTTTCTTGAGTTGGGGTCTCACTCTGTTGCCCAGGCTGGAGTGCAGTGGCACGATCAGGGCTTACCACAGTCTCTACCTCTTGGACTTGGGCAATCCTCATGCCTCAGTCTCAAGTAGCTGGGACTACAGACATGTGCTACCATTTCTGTATTTTTTTTTTGGAGTCTCACTCTGTTGCCCAGGCTGGAGTGCAGTGGCACCCCCTCGGCCACTGCAGCCTCGACCTGCTGGGCTCCGGCGACCCTTCCACCTCAGCCTTCCAAGTAGCTGGAACTACAGGCGGGCGCCACTACACCCGGCTCATTTTTTAGTTTATTGTAGAGACAAGGTCTCACCAAGTTGCCTGGGTGGGTCTCGAACCCGTGGGCTCAGGCAATCCACTCACCTCGGCCTCCCAAAGTGCTGGGATTACAGGCTGAGCCACCGAGCCTGGCCATGTCTGTATTTTTTGTAGAAACAGAGTCTCACTATGTTGCCCAGGCTGGCCTTGAACTCTCGGGCTCAAGCGTTCCTCCCCTTTCACCTTCCCAAAGTGCTGGGGTTACAGACATGAGCCAATGTGCCTGGCCGTGTCTCTGGGTTTAAATCGGGGTTTTCCAAACCCATATGTCCATGGAACTGTCCCATCTCTTTTTTTTCTAATAGATGTGTGTGGCTAGCCACATGGGTAGGGCTGCCCAATAAAATATAGGACAGCAGGTTACATTTGAATTTCAGATAAAAAACAAAATCATTTAAAAAGTACATCCCATGCAAGTAACGTCTCCAGTTTTGCATGGGACATACTTATGCTGCATATTTATCTGTTATATATCTGAAATTCAAATGCATCTGGGCACCTGTCTTTCATCTGCAGCCCAACCCATGCGGCTATTTAAATTAATTATTAGTATTAATTTTTGAGTCAGAGTCTCACTCTGTTGCCCAGAATGGACTGCAGTGGCACGATCATGGCTACTGCAGCCTGAGCCTGCTGGGCTCAGGTAATTCTTTTGCCTCAGCCTTCCAAGTAGCTGGAACTACAGGCATGCACCACCAGGCTCAGCTCTTTTTAAAAAATTTATTATAGAGACAAGGTCTCGCCAAGTTGCCCAGGCTGGTCTCGAACCCCTGGGCTCGGGGAATTCTCTCACCTCTGCCTCCCCAAGTGCTGGGATTATAAGCATGAGCCACTGCACCCAGGGCCCAATTAATTACAGTCAACTAACATTTAAGGGTTCCATTTCTGCGTCCCACCTGCCACATTTCAATGCCCAGGTGCCAGGTGTGGGTGAATGGCCGTGCTGGACGGTCCAGAGCATCTCTACCACGAATGCCCGTCCTCCCAGGACTGCTCTGGGACTCCTAGCGACATCTAGAGCTTCTTTCCCAAACCTCCCCGGAGGAGACCTCAAGACTCATGGCCTCCGAGTCCCCCCACCAGGGCTGGGTGGAAGAGGGAGCTCTGTCTAGAGCCTGGGGGCAGGGTGAGCTGGGTTACCTTGGAGGCCCTTTCTCAGGGGATTCCAGGGACATGTCGGCCCCAGGACGTGACAACACTGAGATTCAGAGGTGTTCCCATCCTTAGGCCATGACAGTTTGTTCTTGTTAGACTTGTGGTGTCTGGAGGTCATTCTTAGCGTCGGGAGCAGGGTGGACCCCTTGGAGGCACTCCCCCCTTGGCTCCCGGTCAGAGCCCCCAAGATATCAACATGGGTCTTGGGGTCTGAGGCCACTGGAGGAGGATGCTGCTGGGCCGACAGACGAGATGCCGGTGCCACCCCCAACTCAGCAGCCACCGTCCGGGGCCGCCCCATGTCCCTGGCCCTGTGTCCTCATCTGCAAGGTGGGTTAGGACTGTGACCTGGGCCCCCCAGGGGTCACCTCGGGGCTGACCCTATTGGAAGGGTTGAGGGTGGGCCAGATCCTGAGAGGCCAGGCACAGGCCTGCAGCGGACGGGCGGGACTGAGGGCTAAGGGCCTCCTAATTGTCCGTGACTTACAGACTTGGCGGGGCTCCCGGACAGCCTTCGTAAATCAGCCCTGCCGCAGACAGGAGGCTGCTGGTGTGGCCCGTATGAGCCGGCAGGGCCCTGGGCTCCTCCCTGCTTGGAGGCTGGGCATGCCTGCTGTAAGGGGGAGGCTGGAGGTGGTGGGGCAGGAGGGGAATGGGAGATGGGGCGCTGGTGGGCTGGGGACAGTCACCTGCATGTGCCTGCTTCTGGAGGGACACCCAGGCCTCCCACTGTGTGGCCTCTGGCACTCCCACGCCTGGGACAGAAGCTTACAGGGTCTCTTCGTGGGACCAGAGGGCAAGTCGTGAGTTCCAGGCCAGGACACCCTGTTTCTTTACTGTGTACGGCGTGAGGCGTATCTGCGTACATGCACGTGTGCATGCATTACAGTGTGGTGCTTGTGTGCGCATGCGTGTGTACCTGCTTAGGCAGACTGGATGCCAATGGGGTCAGTGCAGTGCCCTTCCCCTCCATCAGGCACAGAAGTTGGGTGTCCTTGACTTTACCTGGGGACATGTCACAGCCCCCCCATCCAGGTGGATGGCCTCGGAGCCCCAGACTGTGGAGTTTCAACTTTCTCATCTGAAAAATGGGCTGGGCGTGGTGGTATAATCCCAGGACTTTGGGAGGCAGAAGCAAGAGGATTGCCTGAGTCCAGGGTTTTGAGACCAGCCTGCGTAACTTGGTGAGACCTCATCTCTAAAAATATCAAAAAATTAGCCAGGTATAGTGATGCACACCTGTAGTTCCAGCTGCTAGGGAGGCTGAGGCAGAAGGATGGCCTGATCAGCAGTTTGAGGTTGTGGTAGCCGTGACTGTGCCACTGCACTTCAGTCTGGGAGACAGGGTGAGACCCCGACTTAAAGAAAGTGGGAGCCATGGACTGTTCCAGCTCCCAGAGCTGGGTGATAACCTTGAGAATCTGGGAGAGGGCGCAGGGTGCCAGCAGATGCCAGCTGTGGCTACCCTATCATTCAGTGTCTCCAGACCCAGGAAAAGGCTGAAGCTGGCTGGTGTGTCTTCTGTGCCTGCCCTCTTTGGGGAGAGGGAGGGCAGGTCAGAGCTCCTGGGGCAGTCAGGGGAGGCCAGATCAAGGAGTTGGAACCATTCGTGTAGGAGAGGGGCCAAGAGGGCCGCCTCTTCCGCCCCTCCAGGTGTGGGGCCAGCCCTCTCCCAGCCCCTGAAGCGTGAAGGAGGTCACCTTAGGACAAGTAACTGTCCCCTCACCCCGTGGGAGAACGGGTGTGGGTAGATGCTCCCCCAGGGGTGGCACTGGTTGGAAACACAAACAGGCCCCAGACAGGTGTAGGTAACTTCCTGCCTGACAGATGGGACTGAGTCTCTGGGCACAGGGAGACGTGGGTTGTGAGGTGATGTCTGGCCGCCGCGGGCAGGACTGCCCACCCAGGGAGTGAGGCCTGGCCTGGGAGCCCAGCGCCTGGCCCTGCGGCCTCTGCTCAAGGGCACTGCACCCAGATCCACCTTCCCACACTGGGGCTGGAGGGCAGAGCTGAAGGTCAGTGTGCAGAGGCTAGGGACCAGGGCCTCCCGCATGGTCCACGCCATCGGCATTGAGCTTGAACAGGCAGCTTGCCTGAATATTATCTGTAGGATCGGGGGTGAGAACACTTTGCGGGATGTCTTGCTTTTTTTTTTTTAGCTTCCACAACACAAATTTATGATGGAGGTCTTGTTTTTAAGAGTTAGGACGTGTAAGGCCAGGTGTGGGGGCTCATGCCTGTAATCTCAGCACTTTGGGAGGCCAAGGTGGGAGAACTGGTTGAGCCCACGAGTTTGAGACTAGCCTGGGCAACATAGTGACACCTTGTCTCTACTTTAAATTAAAAAATTAGCCAGACGTGGTGGCAAGTGCCTGTAGTCCCAGCTACTTGGGAGGCAGAGGTAGAGGAATGACCTGAGCCCTGGAGGTCAAGGCTGCAATGAGTAGAAGAATGGCCTGAGCCCTGGAAGTCAAGGCTGCAGTGAGCCGAGATCGCACCACTGCACTCCAGCTTGGGTGAGAGTGAGATTCCAACTCAAAAAAAAAAAAAAGAATTAGAACGTATATAGTGTGTCTGGCACACAGTGAGGTCAATACATCAAGGCACTTCTTAGTGGTTATTTATACAGAAACGGCTTGATTCAGGGACCCAGGGGCAGTCCTGGGCCATGGACAGAGCTGGCCCCACTGGTCCCAGCTTCCTAAATGGGGGCATTCAGAGCCCAAGGACATAGGACGGGGTGGTGATACCAGTTTCCAAGAGAAAACAGATGACGCGGGGAGGGCACGGGCCCAGGGTGCTGGCCCGCCGCCTTTGGTGGCTGGCACTGGGCTAGGACTTGGGGGGCTCCTCCTAGTGGTAGGGTGGGTGGACGCCAGGCCTCTGGCTCTCCTAGACATGCCAACAGGTTGTGACCAGACCTGGGAGGGGGACTCGCCTTTCTTGCAGCCGGTGGAAACGGAGCAGGTGGGTCTTTAAGAAGCATTGAGTGCAGCGTGGGGGGCGCTTCACAAATCCCTGGGGCCTCCCGGGATCCGGAAGAGCCCGCCTCCTCTGGACTCTCTGGGCTGGGGGAGGACAGGCGGAACCCCAAGAGGTGGGAGCAGGGTCGGGGCGTGGAGCTGGGCTGGGGCGGCGTCAGACACAAGCGCAGCACAGCGTGGAGCAGTCCAGCTTGGCCGGGGCCCCCGCGTTCCCGGCCTTCTTGTTGACCTTGGGCAGCAGCAGGACGAAAGACATGGCCAGGGCGCAGTGGTAGAAGCTGTGGACATAGGTGTAGTCCCAGTCCTGCGGGGGACGCCGAGTCAGCCTGGGGCTCGGCCCCTCCCCCAGGCTCCTCTCTCGCTCTGCCATGTGCCTGGCCGGTGGCACCTGCAGGAAGCACCTGCTGTCCAGCCCCATGGCCTGGCCCTCCTCCCAAGCCCAGTCACGACTCCCGCTTGCCCCCTCCCTCATCCCTTCCCTTCTCTCCTTTCTCCCTCCAGCTATCCTCCTCTCCAAGCTCCCTCCTTCTCCCTTTTCTCTTTC